GGAAGGCCCAAGTTGAACTTTTCATGGGCCATATTTTGTTATAGCTATTTTCATATGTTTTGTATACATCATGTTAGTATAGGTTTCATATATTTTGGTCTTGTATTTTGGACCACATAGAGTAGCATTTTAGGTTTTAGGCTAGTTGGGCCTAGTTTTGGGCTTCATGGGCCTTTGGGCTTTTGGTACCCAATATTGGGCTCATTTTCATTCTTGTAATTTTTCCTTTCCATTGTATTTGTTTGGCCATTGTATTTAGGCCATTAGAATAGGAAAATACAAAGAATACTTAAGTGGACGGATTAGGCTAAATTAGGGTTAATTTGGAAGTCATTTAAGTTGCATTTGAGTCACATGTTCCTCACCACTAGTGGCTGAACGTGTGCTTACTCAAATACAACCCTAAATGCCATCTAAATTAAATCTAAATGCATTAGAAACCTAAACCCACGGACTTGCACATGTGCACCTAAGTTTGAATTCAAATTTCAAATTTGAATTCAAACTTTAGGCGCCAATTTTGTGTAACCTTGTTTAGGCTCCAATACTACTCAAATCCGTGCATACTTAAGTGATTCTTTCCCTCATTGTACTCACTTTGATATATTCAGAAATTTGAGAGCCATTGAGCCAAGTTTCTACTTCAAAGTCACCGTGTGAATTCTCTCAAACCTTAGGGTTCACCATTGTTCCTTCTCTTTGAAGTGGACAATCCATTGATGCTTGAGCTTGGATACTTCCTTCTAAGCTTAACCTCCTTCCATTCCAAAAAAATCCCTCTCCTTAAGCCTCCATTCCATTCGGTTTATATCTCCATTGAAGAGGATCCGAGCTAGGTGAAGAATAGGAGAAGAACTACATTCACTTTTCCTACCTTCTCCATCAATTAGTGGCACCAAAAATTATGTCATCTAAGTACATTTGAACTAGTATGAAATCATCCTTTATTACTTTTCTAAACAGGGTGTTGTCAATCTTGCCTCTTGTAAAAATATTATCTATTAGAAAAGGGCTTAGTTTTTCATACCATGCACGTGGTACATGTTTTAATCCATACAAGGCTTTGTTTAGTTTGAAAACATAAGATGACATCAATTCATTTTCAAAACCAGGAGGTTGACATACGTAAACTTCTTCTGAGATTGTTCCGTTTAAAAACCTCTTTTGACGTCCATCTGATATAATTTCATGCCAGTACATGCAGCAAAAGCAAGTAAGATTCTAATAGATTTTATTCAAGCAACAGGTGCAAAAGTTTCAGTAAAGTCTATACCTTCCTGCTAAAAAATTAATAAAAATTAAGTAATGCGATTCAATTAATAATTTTTGGTTTAACCTTTAATCCATTAATTTAATATCCTAACTAATTTGATGATTTATCCGGTTTTTAAAACTTTGCGGAGGAGTCATCCTTCTCCCTAAATTTATTTTAGCAAAAACAAGACATGGTACCAGCGTCTCTCTTCTTTTCCTTTAATGTGTTAATGTGACAAGAAGCAACAACCCACTTGCTAGTTGCTAGAGATCGGACAAAAAGTGCATTTTCCTTAATAGAACAGAAAAAAGATGAACAAAAAAAGTAAATGAGAAACAATTCATTTCATTTTTTTTCTTATTATCTCAATGATATTATTCTGGTTAATAATGTAT